AAGTGTCACGATCACAAGTGTCACGATCACAAGTGTCACGATTACAAGTGTCACGATCACAAGTGTCACGATCACAAGTGTCACGATCACAAGTGTCACGATTACAAGTGTCACGATCACAAGTGTCACGATCACAAGTGTCACGATCACAAGTGTCACGATTACAAGTGTCACGATCACAAGTGTCACGATCACAAGTGTCACGATCACAAGTGTCACGATTACAAGTGTCACGATCACAAGTGTCACGATCACAAGTGTCACGATCACAAGTGTCACGATTACAAGTGTCACGTTCACAAGTGTCACGATTACAAGTGTCACGATCACAAGTGTCACGATTACAAGTGTCACGATCACATATGTGCTTTATCACTTCACAACCCTTTAAAACACCAATAGGCGTGCAGCTGTTGGTCACGTGGTCGCACCTACCATAAATCAATCGGCTTTCACAAGATGTTCCCGTTTGTTATTCATGTTTAAGTAATATATAAAATATGAGCGGGAGACCTTTATGGTCCGATCCCTATCATATTTTATATTGCTTATCAAATTCCAACATAAGGTAAAGCATATTTCGAAAACAACTTCAGGATAAAAATCTTTGTAAGAGAAAATCGAAGTTAAAGTCGTATGGAAATCAGGACAAATTTCTTGCTCATATAAAGATGCGGTCACGACAATGATTTTCAATTGTGTTTACCTTATGAATTATTAATGAATTGGATAACTGACACTATTGTATCGATAGCGTGCCTTTTTGATTTGCATCGCCATGACAACAATGTAATGGGAAATCTTACTAGCAGGAGGAATCACGTCACATGGACAGGTTTTATTTTACAGGGGCGGATGAAGCTGGTGGGCTCAGGGGTAAGCATGCAACCCCTACTGAAACCATGTATCCATCTAATTCTCGGTTTGCACATGACGTCATCAGTCGAAAATATTCTAAAATCACAGACACACAACATTAAAGTACTAAAATACCTTGAAGAGCATAATAGAAGTTCTCTCTGAAAGCCTAAACTTTTGTGCTGTTTATTCGTTGAGTTATTAATGTTCAGAAATATGTCACGCAATACTGTCACGCGACTTGAAACGCTTCGCCCCTGCTTTATTACCACGATTGCGGCATTGCCTAGCAAACAGACAGTCTTTAACTTTACATGAACATTGAATTAAACGTTTTCAGGTGAAATGTGTGCAATCATCATAGTTTACCTTGTCGTCCCCGTTTTCATCCTTGTAATACTGCCAGTTGATATTGTCCAAAGACAGTTTGAGCTTGTATTTCTTTGCATATTCATCAACATGTGTTTTAGGATTTCCTTGGGTTGCAACAGCACAAATGTACACCAAAGAACCAAGATCTATGTGTAGCCAGGAACCAGACTTTTTGTCACTTTCGGGCTCCCAGGCTATGTTTTTATTCCTGAGCCTGGCATTACTTGGCACATATCGGTGATCATAAGATGAGCTTGCAGTAAATCGATGATCGGGTATCGATGCCGAAGAGGCTACACCAACAAAAATCTTGGAGCATACTGAAGCACATGAAAAAATGTATTTTTTTAAGTTTCGATACCATCGTAGTCGATGATCAGACAATTAAAGTCAAAATTCTATCACGTACTCCTATATTCTACAATAATACAGACGAACCTCTATTAAGCGGTCACCTTGGGAAAAGACCAGGTGACCGCTTAATAGAGGTTGTCCGTTTAATAGAGGTTAAGATTTTATTGAAAGTCCGTCAGTATATCAATTATGTTATTAAAAAATGATTCTGAAAATTTTATTACAATCTCTGCAATGAGTTTCGAGAAAACTTTGAAGTTATCCAAATTGGCTTCGCTTTTTGGCAAATTAATTTATCAACAAGAATTATCGATAATCACTGTGACTTCTGTGAAAGTTTGAGTGCAATGGAATCGAAATTTGCGACGTAGTTGGAGTTTAAAAATACGCGCGAAACGCTATTTATTACAATCGAAACACCTTAACGCTTAACGACTGTTGATCAAGTCAAAATACTACAGGAATATATACAATTTTTGTAAGTTTTCTCTTGCAATTTTTAAGCTTTGAAAATGTATACATAGTTGTGAATGTAAAGAAAACCAATTTGGAGTGTATCGTACCATAGTACCATACTTGCCCTAGTATACAGATTTTACTTATTTCCTGTATTTCACAAACCGTGCTTGCCGTATTTTTACGGCAACATACGGCAACATAACATTCATAAACTTTTTTGCCAGTCAAAAATGCATCATAATAGAAATAATAATAGCTTCTAAGAACAGAAGACAGTTCAGTTCATACCTGTATCCTGCTGCACACCATACAGTTCTGTTCTCATACAAGTTGTCGATCCAAATGTACTCTTAGGTCGGATACGGACGTGTCGACCAACAACCCCATCAAACAATGGATTTTGCACAGTTGAGTCAGAATCAATGTTTCCAGGAAATACCTGGAATATAATGTAAACAAGCAGACAAATCACATATGAGTAAAAGACTTGAAAGGGAAGAAATATTCTGTCAAGTTTGCCGTCTGA